TTTTAACTGAAAACCATTCAAAAGCCATTATGGTAAATATCTTTTTGAAACGTAAAGAAAGCGAAATATTGCTTTCTTCACTCTTCCACTGTATTATGGCGTCATTTCAGCAAAATATTACATTTCCATATTTTCAGAAATAAATAGTAGTTTTGCTGGAAATGAGTGCATTTCTTAAATTAGGATAAACTACATGAAAACAAAAGACTTTACCTAACCTTCTGATGTTCAAGATATGTTACTCGTTTTTTAGTAGTTTTCGGGTTAAAATACTCTTATATTAGTGATATCTTTATTCATACTGTACTTGATATAATACATTCAATGGAAAATGTAACATTTTTGCAACTACAATGCTGATGTCAACACAAGTGTGGTTATAGGCGAGACTGGACCGAAAGGAGGGAGAGCTATGCATGTGTGTGTGAGGTTATGCCGGTGTCCCATGTTCGGTGCATGTATTTGAATGTACTTCAATTACTTCAATGTACAGAATATTCCTCTGGCGGGAATCCGCGTATTTGCAAATCCTTATTATAAACCCGCGTATGTTAAGGGCTGACTGTATCCAGTATGTGTGTGTGTGTGTGTATACACACACACATATATACTGTATGTATATATAGTACAATACAGGTAAAAGAAATAATTGTCCTAAGGGCAAACACGAGAATATGCATTTCTTTGTAAACAAGTAAAAATGTAATCCCCCCCCGGGCAGCAAATGACCATGATTTAGCAATTCGCGGCCATTTTGAGAACCTAACCCCCGTGAATTTCAAGGGCATGCTGTACCTGGAAAATTCCGGGGTCAAGAGATAGTACAGTATAGTCTCGATTTACGCGGATTTGGTTTCTGCGTTTGGTCATGTATGCGGCACCTTGCCAGACCGGCAATTTTTATTTACACGGTTCATTCCATCATTTATGCAGGAAGCAGCGCAGGCAGGGTGTGCACAAGGTCGCCCAGTCAACAAAACATTACCGAGTTCTTCACCGCCCGGCGGCCAAGTCAGTGATAGTGAGGATACGGACTGGGGTTTGACAAAGAGGCCCTGCAAGCCTCTGTGGTGGATAATGATACAATTGATACAGGTGAGGGCCAATGATTTGCCCTCTGCCTGGAACCAATCCCCATCGTGTGCCCAGCCATCTTTTCTACTAAGTAAGTATTAAAAAACCTAATATTATTGATATTTCTCTTAAATATTAATTGTGTGCATACCATCATAAAATTAAGATGTTATTTTTACTACAAAGTACGTATTATCGGAAAAAGTGTAGTTTGGGTGTCGGCCCAGTCTCTATTTCAATTAATCCCATATGATCTGCTATTTTGTTTATGCGTTTCTCGTTTTACGAGGACCTCCACGGGTTCAATTGACAGCGAAAATGAAGACTATACTGTAATGCACAATTTCTGGAGCTTCCGAGAATATTTTTCCATTACCAAGAAAATTCCAGGGATGAGGGATTTTTCTCAGGCTTTGAGAGATGACATAATGCATCTATTCTGGAACACCCGAGAAAATTTTCAGTTACCCAGAAAATTCCAGTGATGAGTTTTTTTTCCCCGGATTTGAGAGTTGTCTCGTTGCCGGAAATCTCTAATTCCCAGTAGTGCTCTGCACCAATTGTTCAGGCTAACGGAGATATCTGTATATATATATATATATATATATATATATATATATATATATATATATATATATATATATATATATATATATATATATATAGGAATAACAGATGAAGCTGCAGCAAGAGAAGAAAGTGAGTTTCTATATCATTAAACCACAGAATGTAGAACTGTACAGTAATGTACAGGTACTTCTCAATTTACGACCTACTTGACTTACGACCATCTGGACAAACGACCGCCGCAGTCGTACAATTTTTTTTTTAAATTACGTATTTTCGAGTCCCAACGTTAGTGATCGCGCTGTGCACTGTACTGACATAATTTTCGTTTGTAATTCCCTTTAAAATGGCTGGCAAGCATAAAAGTGAGAGTTCTTGTGGTGCTGAGAAGAAAAAGAGACCCATTTTAGATTTTCTCTGTATTATTTTCGCATTTTCGACTTACGACCTGGTCGTCGGTCCCTAACCGTGTCGTAAGTCGGGGACTGAAAACAGTACTGCGGTAGTGATACGCCAGCATCGGATAGTCCAAGAGCAATGTAACGGTTGTTGAATTCTATAAAATAAACTTTCATTAACACTCCTGTAGACATACTATTACTGATTAGAGACCAAGCATAAGTTTAAGCAAAGGACCCTCCTGGAAATAAACACCTGACAGCTTTGTTGGCTATCCTTGGTCAAGTTGCCTTACTGACATACTGTTTACTTTTGTTGTTTACCTGCACTGTCACGGCACACAGGAAACTGTATACTCCCACGGACTACATGCACTGTATACATGCGGTACATTGTGGTATTTATGCTGAAGTATATAACTGCATAGTTTATAAACATGCTTATGCAATTGTAAACCTGTATGACAATTTTACAGAATAAATATTATTACAGTACTGTATTAGTATTATTTAAGTAATTTCACTTTTAAGAGTTTTTATGTTTCCAGAGGGGCTGCTGCTTCTGTCCGCAATTTTTAGTTTCTGGGATTGAGCGTGGTTAATATCAGAAATCTTTATTTTTATTTTTTTTAGATACAGCTACATCCTTTAATTTGTCATTCATAAAATGAGGAAAACTAACATACCAAACGTCTACTAAAATACCATATTACAATTACTTTCTAATTTATTATTTTAGAACAATAAAATCCTTTTTAAAGATTCATTTTATGTCATAATGGGAATTTGCTAAAGGAAATAAGTTATCTAATGTTTTTCATGGGGCTTTGAATGAATATGACCTGTATTTTGAGAGCTAATGCTTATTTATGGAGATATGACCCATTTAACATGAGCAATGACTACACTGTCTTTTAAAGTAGGCAGTAGTTTGAAGTTGCGTGAAAATCTAGGGTTAAAACACCAAACAAACCTGATCCAGCCTAACCTGACCCAGGAAAGTGCTAATTCTATTAAAAGCTTACCATATCTAGCCAATGGCAGAGCAAAGTGATTCTGTTTGTTTTTTGTTTTTGAGCATTTTCTGTGTTTCGGTCATGAGGGAGCCATAACACGACTGAATATTGCTAGATTAAATTTTTGCGCATCTGTAAATCTTCCAAAAGAGTTGAACTGTCCTCTGATTGGTCAAAGCTAACCTAACCCCACATTTTTCATCTTCAGAACCTTGCCCACTTTGTGCAAATCATGGTTGTCTCCCCTTAAATATTTATCAGTGACAAAAATAAAAGTAATATTCTTTCAACTTACCATGAAAAACATAGGAAACCCATTTCTGATATTAAATTCACGTTAAGGCATAAAACGAATCTTTACTAATTCCATTTTGCCAAAAAAACCATCAACAGTCTAAAAATGGCATACTTGGTGAGGTCATGTTTGCTGTCTTCCTCAGCCTATTACAGACTTGAAAAGTGATGTGACGCAAAACACATTCCACGAACACTTTTGTAATTTTTTCAGGTCAAGGTGGATTAGACGATTAGCACCAGAAGAAAGTTATGGAACTACACCAAGTTTTCAGATGTTTTTTGGATGATACTGAACATGAAAACAGAAATAACAATGCACAGAACATATTAAAACCTTACCTAACCTCAACTAACTTAATAACCCGTGTATTGTCATTTATATTTTCTTACATTATCTCTACGTAAAATGAATGCATTGAATCCAGTAATAAACACACCCAATGAGATCGTTGTTCGTTTCTTGACATGTAAACAAAGACTGTAGATGCGCCGGTATAGCAGACGATGTGAACCAAAACATATTCGCCACAGGAGATCCAACAGTGCCATTATTACGGTAAATAATTTATTTCTTCTCCTACAAAGCACATAGAATTTAGATTACTGCCATATGATCAGTGGTCCCAGTGTTTTTACTCCTTTAATTCCCTCTTCTTTCATGCCATGCCCATTAACAAGTAATTTATGACCAAAGGATTGGCTAAAAAGATGAAGGAAAAAAAATACTACAATGTAATTTTGATTTTATTACTCAGCATTATCCAAGCACCATCATCTGAAAACTTGGTGCAATTCCATAAAGTCCTTCTGGTGATGTCTCCTTCACCTTTACCGTTTTACAAAATAAGAAAGTTTTTATCTCTTAAGGAAATATTTTCTTGAGTTGGTGCTGAGGCTGGACCACTGTCAAGTTTTACCAAATCATCTTTCAATAAAAAATCTTAAAGATACATTCTTGTTAGCACAGTATTATAATGCATAAAGTGCCCCTGTGAAATGTCAGTCTTCCCGACAAGGTTAAACCACTGATAATGGTAGACAAGAAACTACGAAATCTAATCTATCAACTAAATATATAAGATTATTATGTTAGTCTCTTGTTGGTTCATGTCATCTGCAGTCACTAAATGTTCAGCCTCCCAGAGATAGCTGTTGACATTAGGTATGGACTTAATGCCTCTGCTTAAGTTGATTTTTGTTCCTTTCTACATCAATGAATTTGTACTCTATAAATTAAAACAAAGGTGTCTACATGCTCCCAAAACAAAGCATCAAGAGATAAGATGATAACCAACGCCTTGGCATATACCAAAGGTGCATTTCATCACCAACCATTAATAACTTTGATGAGTTCTGACGGAATAAAATAATGCAAATATTTTACTAAACAGAATAATATACTGATGACTTAACATTTGGATTAGGATGCAGTTCAAAACATCTCACCCGAAATTTACAAAAAGGATGGTTGTTTTGTTATATAAACCTGAATAAGTTACATTAGACACATAATGAAATGAGAACACAATAAATTTCTATCGTTGCTACACACTAAAGCGAATATTTACAGTAAATAATATTGATACCCTTTTGTTATCTATACTCTGATATCTTCACAAGGCTATAAGGCTTTACGAGAATTACAAACCTAAGACAGGAGAAGCGGCAAGATACCATGGGCCACAAGGTCTGCGTCACTCCCAACTGACCACTCCGCCATATTGACCCAGAGGTACCAACCCTTCTCACCAACAACACGCCCGAGACAGGTCTACCAACTAAATACTCCACTTTTTAATAATTATAATATTAATTTGTAATTTCTATTATAATTCATCGATATTTCAATATAATAAGAGGCAGTTATATATGAAATAATACTCAAATGCCGAAATCATGACTGAAGCAAGATATACGGCATTGCAAAACACTTTTTACATGTCATTTATTATATAGCTGTATTTGCTTAATGTCTTGGACGAAGGCGCTACACATTTATCTCTCGTGATCTTCATATGACTGTACAACACTAAACAGTACTAAAGCGAGCTACGTAGTGACTACAACATATATTCAGAATTGTATCAATACCCTACTATGTTCTCGGCGTGTACGGATAAATATGGCAAACATTGATTCACGACACTTATTTTAAATGAATTAATTTTAAAATCATGAACTTTCACGAAAGATCGATAAAGTTTCCTACGAATTAGACAGACAAATATAATTTCACTGTACAACTGTAAGGGTGGTGGCAAGTTTATAAAAGCAGAGACTACAATTTTAATGCATTTATTCTATGGTGTGTTGTACAGTGAAGTTGGTACACTGGTAATATACTCTGTAGCTGAAGTATAGCGATTAGAACAGTGGTTCAGACAATCAGTGGTTCCCAAATTTTAGTGAGTCATTACCAATTTTTCGCATGTCTACCTTCATAATGACCCACCCATCTGATTCCATAATAACTATTTGTATCATCAACTGCGATCAAAAGATTGGCGGAATTATATCTACAGAGTGAGAACAAGTTATATTGTTCACTCACTTCTGGCTTCACAGTTACAAACAACATAAAGAACTTAATAATGTAATAATCAGCTAGACGGGTGGGGTTGTTATACTGCAGCTAGGTGCCTCATCCGGTGCAGAGTACCCAATTACCCACATAAAAAATCGAATAATCCAAGTCCTAACTGGGGTAATTTACCCCTAGTTTTGGAACCACTGGATTAGAGTGTTCGTTTTTCGTATTCTTTATCGAACTGAAAGAGAATCAGGAAAAACGCAATTATCTTGTCAATTAGAAATCGTTACTGTTTATACAGCATACACTGTACTTATGTAGTAATTAATTTTCGGATAATCAATAGTAAGAGAACGGTGTTATGTGTTCAAACTGCATAAATACCTAACGGATTAAAACATACATATTATACTGTACTGTATTTGCAAACGATTCACAAAAATTTTGTTTAATGAAACATATACCATAGTGCACAGAGTTCTTGTTGCCCATGTAAAAAATAAGTCTTAGTGTAATCGCTCATAAGAGCGATTTTGGTTTGTGCAGGACAATAAGACCCTTGTCGTTGACGCGATGAGTATAATTCGGTCAAAACCTGTTGAATACAATTCACATATAACAACTGCTGGTACATCAGGACACAATTTGAATAATACTATCAATATACAGTGCATAATTACACTTATTAAAGTTATTTAGAGTTCTCAGAGGATTCAACAGTTCACAATCACACTCACATTTTGGGGTATAGGGTTAGACCAACGAGAACAAATATATTTAGAGTCTCGTCACTGGGCGTATTAACACTGAGTCCTTTGTCTTCACTTTGACACTTCGCACCGGGCCATCTGACTCCTGGGGAAGGGTTGTCCAGAGATGATCACAATATCCCCACCGTGGAGATTATGGCGAGTTTTGAATAATCTTTGTCACTGACGTAGTGTCAGGAGATATTCCTTTACCCACCTCTCTCAAAATTGGTCCGCGATGAATTGGGCATGCTTCCATCTTCTGGCAGGTCGGCTTGGCGTTGGTGGGTAGGCCTCCAGTTGCTTCTCCAACAAATCACACACGTCCGTATTGTGCGGTCGAGTAATTTGCGACACTTAGGTATCCAGTATGTCCCACGTATTATGGCGAGAGTGTGTTCTCGTCCTGAGTGTTCAGCTCTAGTCAAGTGTACCTCTCTCATAATGAGCCCCGTGATCCTGTTGTCCCTCGGCAACAGTATGGGATTCTTCTGATCTAGGTGGAGAGTGGCATGTTTCAGTCGGCCGCCTACTCTGATCAAACTGTGCGTGTCTAGATGAGGTTCCAGTCGACTCACGTCACTACCTCTCACGGGTTGTCCCTGCTGTAACATTCCGAGTTCTCGAGGGAATCCTTTCCTTTACTTAAATCTTAAGACGACTAACTTCGCATCTTCCAATTCGCTGACCTTGAGTCGATGTTTTCGGTGATGTTTGTTCTTTCGCTTCCCCAGCCGCCATTCTATAAACCTTTTAATTCATACTACACTATTCAGAAGTCGATGCCACGAGAAGTACCTGGCCCATAGCTTATCGAGGATACCCTCCCCCTGGTCAGCGTTCATCGTTAGCACCGTGCTTTCCTTCTTCACCTCTGGGTCTCCTTCTGTGAGGTCTGGAACCCTCATTGGACTCTTTGGCCAACTGTCTTCTTCCAACAAGAGGAAAGCAGATCTCCGAATCCACCTGCCCTCCTCGTTGAGCTCTGCTCCCTGTAGTCCACGACTCGCGTCATCGGCTGTGTTCAATGCCGACTTCACGTGGCGCCATTGTTCTGCATTGGAGTCCTCGTGTATTGTTGCCACTGATTGGCCACGAAGGAATGGAAGCGTCTGTCCGGAACACTGACCTGTCTATTTGTAATTCAAGCTCTCGTCGTAGATGGTTGTGTGCCTTGGCAGCCAGTACTGCCGCGCAGAGCTTGAGTTGAGGTATGGTCTGCTGTTTCAGAGGGGCTAGCTGGGCCTTGCCACACACGAAGGAGATATGGTGAGTTCCATCTTCACACGTGGTCCTAAGATACGATACAGCTCCATACGCTTGTTGGGAGGCGTCGTAGAAGTGGTGTAGTTGCACGGAAGCCACTGGATTTGCATTCTCGGGCGGGTAGCACCGTGGAACGTGTACCTGTGACAGGTGAAGAAGTTCATCTGGCCATCTTCGCCAAGCCATCCTGTTCTGTTCAGCCATTCGTTCATCCCACCCAACACCTCGTCTACACTCATCCTGGAATATAATTTTGGCTCTTGTGACGCTCGGAGCGATGAGTCCCAGTGGGTCATATATGGAACTGACCATACTCAGAAGGCTTCGTTTCGTCTCCGGTTTCTTAGGGATCTGGACCCGGACTGCTAGTTCGTCCTTTTCCAGGTCTCACAAGATTCCCAGCGCTCGTTCAGTGGGGAGCCTATCGTCTTTCAAAATGACTTCCTTTACTCCCACGGCTTACTCTGTCTGTGGAATTGCCTTGAGGACTTCCCTGTGATTACAGATCCACTTTGTAAGTCTGAATCCGCCCTTCTTCCTCAGCTGTCTCAGTCAATGGGTAATTATCGTTGCCTTCCCCGGCGAATCTACTGAGAGAAGCAGATCGTCAACGTAGAAGTTACAATTCACTTTCTTTTGCCGCTTGGGCGATCGGCCACGTCTCTCATTACTTTTCCTTTTATTTTATCCTCTTCGCCAAAAGATCGGCTCGTTAGCCGCTTGGGTGATCGGTCACGTCTCTGTTATGCACTGTTGGCAAGTACTGGGTCCTGAATGTACTTCAACCCTCTCCAGTGTTGGTCAAGTCTTGTCTTGAAAGAGCTCACACTCGGTGCCGTCACAACACTTTCTGGTAGATTGTTCCAAGAGCTCACAGCTCTCACCCCAAAAAAGTTTGCCCTCACAGTTTTCTGGACTTGTGTCTTCTTCAATCTTGAGCTGTGACCCCTTGTGGGGCGAGCGTCCGCCAGTTCCAAGTAAGGACACTCGACTGAGTAGTGCCCCTTGAGATGCTTATACACCTCAATTATGTCACCCCTTGCCCGTCTGTAGCATAAGCTAGGCAAGTTCAGGCGCTCCAATCTCTCAGGGTAGCTGAGGTGCCGAAGGGCAGGTACCAGTCTGGTGGCCCTCCTTTGAACATTTTCAACCAACTGACAGTCCCTAGTATATCTCGGGGACGAGACGGGGTGACAGTACTCCAGATGGGGAAGCACTTCACTCCTGAAGATCGTTACAAGGGACGGACCGTCTAGATATCTGAAGGACCTTCTTATAAGACCTGATAATTTATTTTCCTGATTTACCTTCTTCTCGCAAAGGCCCGAGAACTTCAGCTCATTGTCAAAATACACACCTAGGTCCTTCTCACATTCAGTCTCAAATAGTGTAGTTTCTTCATCCCGTTGGGACATATGATACGCCTCCTTACCGTTGGTGCGCCCCAGGTGCATCCTCTTACACTCCTTGACATTGAATCTCAGCAGCCATTTCTTCGACCATTCTGGCTGCCCAGCAAAATTCATCGCCATTGTGAGACAACTCCACGATGGCATGAACGGCAGTGTTCTGCACAATGACACCCAGTCTGAGTTCTTACCCATCTAAACGGGGGTAAAACAAAGATGTCTACTAGCACTGTTTCTTATTTCCATTTTCTTGGCAGCCTTCATTACTCGTGCCAGTGCCAATTTAGCCGGTGGGGTGAACATCCAGTACTGGATGAAGGATCTTTTCAACATAAAACGATTCCAGGCAGGAACAAAGGTGTCAACAGCTTTCATTACTGAACTTCAGTATGCAGACGACCTCACCCTTGTCGCTCACACTGAACGTGACCTACAGGAGATCCTGAACACCTACACAGATGCGTGCACACGTCGGCCTTGAGGTGAATGTACGTAAGACACAGACTCTTTTTCAGCCTGCCCCTGGTTCAGCCACACCTCCACCATCCATCCTTCTTAGCGGCACTATCCTCTCTAATGTTACCTACTTTCGGTATCTCGGCTCCCACCTGTCCACCACCATGGACTTCGATGAAGAGATTCAACATTGGATCAGATGTGCATTTTGCATCTCAAGCCTTTGGCAGACTCCGTACCCATGCCTTCAGCTGCAGGGAGCTGATATTATCTACAAAGCTGCACGTATATCGAGCAGTGGTCCTCCCCACTCTGCTATA